AATCTTGTGTTGTTCTTCTGGGCCACCATAGTCTTTCCGCCCCATATTCTGGCAATACAGTACAGTGGTGCCTCAACTTACAAACTTAATTGGTGCCGGAACTCCGGTCCAATATCCAGCTACAAATCTACTCAGCCTTGCCCTTCTCTGGAATACCAGTGTGTCAACAAAGTGCACACTTGAGAAGAGTGCTGCATCGCAGTGAGAGATATCAGTGCATTGAGGAACTGAACCACTGTTCCTTCAAGAATCCAAAATAATTCAATGGCCAAACTCTGGCACAGGCCTATTGCCTCTCACATGACACAGGCCTTCATCAATAAGCAACTGCCTGGCAATCGGATGGCAAAAATACTGGAACATGATTTCTAGCCATACAGAGGAAAAACCGTAACCATAGCGATCACTTCTGATCTTGCTGTATGTTTTACATGTTGTCTTGTTGGGCATGCAATAAAAAGGACTATCCTTGCTGATGCATCTTTCCAAGAAAAGCCAAGAGAGACAAAGAGAAAGCAACGGTCGGCATCTGCAAAATGAAGAGCTGATAAAATAACCTATTAGTAGAAAAATGAAAGTGGATTTCCTAACACTTCTGGTTATTTTTTGAGATTACTGCATCCCCCCTATTACTTGGAGCAGCCCTTCAACGCCTGGCATGTGTCACTCTCTGGCCCTATACGCTTACTAGGTGTTTAGGTCTGCTGCCAGACACATGCTTCTCTGATCTTTCTCTTTCCCTAGCTAAGGAAACTGGACTGTAGACACCCAAGATATTTGTTACTTTTCTCTAGGGAAGTGGTTCCTAACCTTTTTTGAGTTGCAACCCCCCTTTATAATAGCCAATTAACTTGCAACATACCTTGCAATGTTTCCATGAAAAACATTTTAATAGGGTAGTCATCCCATCCATACTTTTCTCAGCATACAGTATTTATAACCTATGTGAGACAGTGCCGCTGGCTAGCAAGGAACAAATTGCTAATCAGAACATAGCCGACTCTACAAATGGACAACATAGGAGGTGACTCTACACATGGACATCACCAGATGGGCAAAACCGAAATCAGATTATGTTCTCTGCAGTCAAAGATGGAGAAGCTCTATACAGTCAGCAAAAACAAGACCTGGAGCTGATTGTGGCTCTGATCATCAGCTTCTTATAGCAAAATTCAAGCTTAAACTGAAGAAAGTAGGAAAAACCACTGTGCTAGTCAGGTATAATTTAAACCAAATCCCTTATGAATACACAGTGGAAGTGAAGAACAAAATTCTTAAGGAACTAAATTTGGTGAACAAATGTCTGAAGAACTATGGATTGAGGCTCGTAACATTGTACAGGAGGCAGCAACCAAAACCATCCCAAAGAAAAGGAAATGC